TATGAGGCACTGGGATACTGAGCCATGAGGGAACAAGAGGCTCCCAGGGAGAGAGTCCCCAGGACCCCCACTATGAACATTTTGGGATACCTCCCATCTAGCATTTTTACATAAATCCTGGGCTGGAGAAGGGTAACTCCAGGTTTCTCATATGTCAAAGGGTAGCTTCAGGTCTCTCATCCTGCAATTTGTCCCAGGCCTGACACAACACAGATACCTTCAGTGATTTTTGATATAGCAGGGGTATTGCTGAGGCTGAAGTGTTACGTAGATGTGGATGACTTGTCAGCGTGTTTACATAGTAGATGCTGCTTTAAAGGGCTTGCCACGTGCGTGGTGACCCGAGTTACACGGGGCCTGCAAAAGCTGGCCAGGAATTACTGCTAACGACTCAGGCAGCGGGGCCAAATGCAAGTTTTCCTGGGGATGTGGGAAAGCATAGAGTGGGGATGTGCCACCACATGGGGTGGCAGGGATCCAGCATCCTGCTACTTGTCTGGCAACAGACTGGAGATTTCCTGGGGAGGCCATGGCAAAGGGGTGTGGGCAGGGGATGATGACGGCAGCAGGAGCCAGCAGCATGGCACTAACTTGTTCAATCAACCTCAGTTTTAAAATATCCTCCGGTCTGGAGGACTCCTTGTGGAGTAGTGTCTGTGCAGGAGCTGGAGGGGGCAGTGCATGTGACCATCTCGGGGGCAGAGACCTCATGTCCCCCCATCCACAAGGGACTACAGCTTGACCCAGCTCCCAGCTCTCTGTGCAGCACTGCCCGTGCCCGAGACCCGCTCAAGCCATCCTTCTGCTCCTCGTGCAGACGCCCTGAGTGGGACAGGGATGCATTGGGCTTCTTGGGGTGGTCTGGGCTCAGGAGAGGTGCTTGCACCCCACCATCTTTCAGTACTCTTTCTCCTGGGAAAGGGATATATGGCAGACTGATGGACAGGAGTCACAGGGGTCTAGAGGCCTGCAGCCTGGCTCTACTCCTGGCCGTAAGCATCCCCTTTCTTGAGGGGGCAGGGAGAGAGGGGGTACTGGCTCTGCTGGTGGTGCAACACCCAGGTCCTGAAGGTCCTGAAGACGGTGCTGTTCTCCTAACACCTCCACTACCCACTCTGCCTCCTCTAGCACCAGTTCTGGAGATGCTCAGCCCTGCAAATGCTACAGGAGAGCAGAAGTGTGTGGGCATTGCTTTCATGATCCAAAATGGGCCCCAAAGGAGCAGAAACATAGGGAGGGAGGCAGGACTGCTCTCCCTGCTAGACGTGGCACACAGACAGGGCAGCTCCACTCTTGCAGGTCCTGCTGGGATGCAGTGGGCATGAAGCTGGGTGCAAAGGGCAATGCCTTCTCCTATCTGGGCTGGCATCCCCTGGGGGTTAACGATTCCCGTTGGGAAGGGGGGACGGTGGGAAGAGCACCAGCAGAACATGGTGGTCTCCCGGATAAACACATGGGGAGTTCGGCCTAACCTGAATCTTGAGAAAGGAGGATATAGCCAGGCTTGGCTCCCCTATTCTGTTGATGCATCCCCTCCTCTCTGTTTTAGCTGTGCTTTCCTCTCTCTGCAGCATCTAAAAATATACTCCCCATCTCTGTGACAGCCAGGTGCGGGGCCATGTCTAAGGGATCTGGCAATGACAAGAGACTCACTGAGGAGAGAGCGGTGTGCAGTGAGACAGGCGGAGGGAGCTTGTGGACTTGGGGCAGGCTCCGGCCGGCTCACTGCCAGGGAAAAGCAATCAGGAGCAGGGAGGAAGGATGCAGGTGAGCAGAAGGGCCTGGGATCCTGGCATGATGCCTTCCTGGTGTCTGGTGCGTGGGCTGCGTGGCCCGTGCTCTGGCTTGGGCTTTTCAGCTTTTGCCCACATGCATCCAAGCCTTAATCAGCGGAAGACTGCTAGCCAGGGAATGTGCCTTGCCCAGAGCTCAGGAAGGGATGGGGAGCAGAGCAGAGGTACCCCAGAGATGCCTCTGAACTGTGTTGAAGCTTCATGTGGACCTCCTGTTCCCCTGATACAGTAAGGGGCCGCATTTTCAGATAAGAGCATCAGTGACTCCTTGCACACATGTTCACACCTTTTATCAACTCGTACACTCCCAAAAGTGCCCAGTGTCCAGCCACATATGCAAATTATGCATGCTCAGCACATCCAGAATGTAAAACCAAGGGTCTGGTGAAACCAGCTACCCTTGCCTCCATACTCCCTTCAGGGTTCAACATGCACGCACTCACCCTCACACAGATGCGCATGTGCTAGGATGCTCAGTATATATACCAAGCCTAGCGGAGTCCTATGCCAGTGCTCAGCACCCTGCTGCACCCGCCACATTCACACATGCAGCTCTGCATGCCTTGCCCTCTCTCATCCCCAGCTGGCAGCCCTGGGAGGAATTTTGAACATGGTTCTGGGGTCACTGAGGCCTGGATCCTGCTAAGTCCCTTTTCACTTTGTAATGGGGCCCAAGCACAGCAACTTCTTTAGGATCCCACGTCATGGCAAGGCCAAAAGCCAGGAGTAGGTGCAATAAGTAGTAGCCCCAGGCACCTCTGCAAGAGCTACTTGGAGGACCCACTTTCCTGGGACACCTGGAGCTGGGACAGCCTCAGGGGATGGGAGAACCTATGTGTGTGCCTGAGCTGTGCAGGAGGTCTTTAGTGTTAACCCCACAGCTTAGACCATCATTCAAGGAGTGGGCAGCCTTCAGAGTCTGCAAGGCCAAAGATGGCTTCTGTTTCTTGGAAATTAATTTCCAGAGCTCGGAACAGAGATGGGGAGAGTGTGGATGGTGCAAGGGTTCCCTCTGTCATGCCTGGCTCTTCTTGGGCACCGGATGGCAGAGAGGAAGCCAGCACCTACCTGTGACAAGCCCTTTCAATGGAAGGAGCTTGCTGAGATGGAGCAGCAACATGATAGCAAGAGACTGGCACTAGGGCAGCTCTCCCACCACTTACAAGGTTGCAACCATCATGACATCAGCACTGCTTTGGGGCTTCCTGGGGGCTCTATGCTATCCAGACAAGGGTCCAGCCCTGACCCTTCTGCTCCAAGGCCAGTTACAAAGACCATGGTGTAGGTGCGGCTGCCTGCTCCAGGCTTCAAGAGCTGCTGGCGCCTGGAGCACTCTTCAGCAGCCACCAGGGCACAATGCCTTCCCTGAGCCATGCCATCTCAAAGCCCGGAGTTGCTCTGAAAGCCCATCCCATGATATCACTGATGACAGGATCTCTCTAGTGCTGTATCCAGATGGATGGCTTCCCAGGCAGGCAGCAAGCAAAAAAGCTGGAGCGACCTGATACCCTCAGCTGTTCCTAGGTCCTGGTGATGAGTGCTATGGAAATGTCCCCGCAGACACAATCCTCGGTCGCTCTGAATGGGGAATTGTTGCCACCGTGAACTGTGAGACAGGCAGGTACCTCCTTGGCAGGGAGCCTTTCTCTCTTGGGTTCATAGGAAGCCACTGGCAGCCCTGGGCTTTGCTGTCTTGGGGTATCCAGAGCGGGGTGCAGTGCTTCCAAGGAGCACAACAGGTTCCAGGGTGGGATGAGTCTGGCCCAGCAGGGATTACGTGGGTGGATGCAGGATTCATGTTTCCCTCTGAACCCCCCTGTCCCCATCCCCAGAGCCAGCTCAGGCAAATTTACTGACATGGGGTGAGTTTTTATTCAAGGGATCAGCCAGACCTGGCCCCAGACTCAACGGTGAGAGAGGTCTATGCTCCCATGAATGTCTTTCTTGGGATGAGTTGGGGCAGTGAATGGCTGCTGTCGCACATCAGTCCCCTTATCACAAGCACATTAAAGAGCAAATAAAACCAACACAAATGGCATAGGTAGGAGTCAGCATCTGCGGTGATCGCAGGCAGGTATTAGAGATTGTGCAGTGCTTAGATGGGGAAACAGCAGTGGCAGCTGCCCGGGGTCTGTTGACAGATGCCGAGTGTTTAGTGCTGAGCAAAGTACTCACCCCGATCGGCAATACTGGCAGCTCCAGACAAGGAGGATGCAGAGGCCTCCCCACAGAGCAGTGGGGTGGATGCTCGGTGCTCTGGAGACACCCCAGTCCCCCTATCCCGGAGCCCCTTGGCTCAGTGTCTGGTCTTGCCTCACTGGAAGAACCACCTTGGATCCCTGCCCTTGAGAGTGCTGCTTTTGAATGGGCTGGCCCTTAGCTCAGATGGCCCAGTGCAGCTGTAAACAGGCCAAGACAGGCTGAGTGTTGTCAGCCCCAGCCATGTTATCCCCCGCTCCCACTGCACCAATTCAGGGGCGAGTGGATGAGGGTATCTGCTGCGGGACAAGGTGGCACGGGAGGCCCTAAGGTGGTGTTTTTCTGGCTGTCTCCTCCGGCCCCAGCCATGCAAGAGAACACATGCAAAGGATTTTCCTAACAAACCTTCCTCTGCGTACACCAGGACGGGAGCATTGCTGTGGGAGACCAGCGCATGCTGAAGGGCAAATCCATCTCCTTTTTTGCCTGACCCCTACCGAGCTCGCTCTCCGCTGGCCAGAAGAGAAGCCTCAGAGCTTTTCCTCCTCTCCAGCTCATCCATTACTGTCCAGAAGTGGAGGCTTAGGGAGGAGGCCTGGGAAACGAGACTGAGGACACCTCTTCCACCTCTTCTCAAAGGTCCAGCTGGGACAGGGAGCACCACCTCAGCCTCCAGGACACAGTGTTGGAGGCTGGGGCTGGAAGTTTGGCTTTCACAGCAGCCTAACAGGAGCTTTAGTGTAAAGAGGGAAAGGGAGCAAAAGAAGCTGCGGGGGCAGTTTAACCGGCAGCAAAGCAGCACGAGAAGGGGGAGACTAAGCAGGGGGGGAACGGGAGCCCACGGTCCGGATGCTCCGGCTGGGTACAGCGTGAGTGTGTGGAGCGGGAAGGGGGGCTCCTTGTCCAATTGGCTTGCGAGCAATGACGGGCAGGCTGCTCCCTCCCCGTCGTGCCGCTTGCCTGTGTGGATGTGAGCAATGTGCGCAAAGTGCCTTTGCATTAGCCGGTGTGCACCGTAGCTCCCGGCGCTCACTAGCAAAGGTGCCAGGAGGAGAGGGGCAGCCCCATCCCACGCCTGGCAGCCCGGTCAGACCATGGCATGGGCTCAGGGGGATCTGACGTCCTCACTCTCCATCATCGTCGCCTTGGCTGCCTGCATTTCCGCCACCACCAGCGAAGGTAGGAGCCCGGCTGGCCCTGGCGAGATGGGGCGATGTTGGGGGGACCAGCGGGGTTGGTATGACTGGCTAGTTTGGACACGTCTGCATGGGCTTACTGGCAAGTGATGATCTCTCTGCTGGGCTTGACTTCTCCCCGCTCTCAGGGGAGCACAAACCTGGGCTCCAGCCTGACTGAGTTTGCTGACCCTGGAGCTCTTGAACAGTGGTTAAACTTCAGAGCTGGGCAGGAGGACTTGATCTCTGCAACACCTTTCAGATCTGCCCAGCATCCCCCTGCAAGGACTATGCTGCAGCCTGCAGGGGATGGGCGCAGCGGGGACTGGGACGCAGGTACCAGCTCAGCCACAGTGATCTCCACCATCAGAGCTGGAGATAGCTGAGGACGGTGTGTGCCAGCAGGGCAGCGTGGGCTGTGACAGAGCAAGCAGATGGGCTAGGGAGGGCTGTGCAGAAGGTGCAGGGAGCAGGTTGCAGCAGGCGGAAGGGCACTCAGATGGGAAACTTGTCGAGAGGGAAAGGGCTGGAAACTTCTGAAGTAGGAAGCAGAGATGCAGTCAGGGACCCTCTCCTGATGGCGCAATGTCAGCATTGTCAGGCCTGCTCCGGCTGCCCAGGCCGCTCTGCTCTGCTCCTGGCCACACTCAGCCCTGGCCCTTGCCGGCAGTGAAATCCTGCTCCTGCAGCTCGGGCCCCCCTCAGCTCTGGCAGCGCTGTTTCCGCTGCCTGTCACCCCTTCGCTTGTCTCTCTTTTCTGCTCTGGCAGTGCTGTGACTCCTTCCCGGGTCTGCTGATCTTCATCACCCGGAGATCTGGCATTCCGGCTCCCGAGCTTGTCCTTGGCACTGGCAGCAGCATCCTTCCTCTTGCCTGCTATGCCTGATATCCATGGCCAGCGCTGCGCAGCCCTCCTCAGCGTGCCCCAGTGCCTATGTCCCTACCCCGTCACGGCAGTGGCATCCCTCTCACCTCCTGCCCTACTGTCCTCCTGTCATGCCGAGGCCCACGGGCTGGCAGCGGGCTGCCTCATGCCCTTTGCAGCACCCCGCAGGGCCGAGTCCCTGCTCCAGCTGCCATCTTTCAACATGCATCCCTCCCTTCCCTCCTTCCCAGTCTGTCTTCCTCATCTGTATTACTCTTCTCCAGCTATTTGCTTGTCCTACCTCTGTTTTCTGCCATCTCTTCACTGTCCAGTGCCGGACACTCCTCCTCCTCCTTTCCCCATCGGCTTTCCCGCAGCCCTTCGCCAGGGCTGCGTTAGCCTCTCATTGCTGGGGATGAGGTGTGGGAGGATAGGAAGGGACCATGCCACCCTCACACCCCCGAGCACTTGCTCTCCCTCCGCTCCGTGGTGCACTAGCTGTCCCCTGCCCTGAGCCCAGGGCTGACTTGTGGTGCCCTACTGGTCCCGCATGCCCCTTGGCACAGGAAGCTGCAGCACTATGAAGCAGGGCAGCCCAGTCTGGACTTAGCTTACCCTTGGCATGGGTAAAGCAAATCACGCTGCCAGCAGCTGCTGGATCCTTGGTTTCCTCTGCTCTGGGATCCTTGGGTGGTGAACGGAGCAGAGAGAAGAGCAGGAAATTCAGCTTTCTCTAGGATATAGTAGCCAGGAGGCCGTTATGCAGAGGAGGAGGAGAGTGAGTTGCCAGCGCCCTTCTGGTGTTCAGGTTACAGCCTCCCAGAGACTGCCCTGGGTAGACAGGGCTGGCTGTCGGCCTGACAGTGCTGTGGAGACTATTGGTCATCAGGGGTGGTCTACTCACTCCTGCTCTGATTCTAGTCCCTTAGTTTGTCCCCAGAATAGGGGTAAACCCCTAAACCTGTGGGTTGGCAAAGTGCAGGCTCCACAGTGGGACTATGTGGCTCAGCTTGGGATAGCAGGCTTGGGGAGAGGAGATGGTCCTTCCCATAACACCCACAGTCTGGAGCTCCTGCATGGAGATCACTGGCTGCTGGAGTGGATTTTACAGCATCTGCGGGGACAGCTGGGCCCTGGACTGCTTTCTGCATGCCCCTGACTGGGAAAGAACCGGGTTTCTTGCAAGACTTTTTGGAAAGAAAAGCTAGTCTCAGTGACAGCTCTGAGCAGGGGGAATGGGGATACATGAGGCACGGAGTTGGGAACACCTGACAGGTTGGATCTGGGGTGATGGCATAGGACCATGCAGAAGATGCTGGCTGGTGTCAGGACCATGCATGGGGCTTTGGAGAAAGCCGATGGCGCTCTGTCCGCTGTCCCCAAGGATGTTGGAGCCTCCGCAAGTACTGGGGCACTGCGCTGCTGTGGTGCAAGGACAGTGGAGCTGGGGATATGATTGCACGCTCTGGGACGGGCTGGTAACAGTGTCTGTGCTGATCATGCCCAGGTGGCATGAGTGTCTGAAGGGCCAGTTACGCAGCCACAGGATCATCTGGGTTTGATGTTGGTTGTGGAGAGTCCTGGCACTGAGCTTGGATGGGGAGATGCTGCAAAGCGCAGCACAGAGGTGGTGTCTCCTACAGTTTGGTTAGGCCAGGTTTTGCTTCCTGCTTTCCACAGAGCTTAGTGTGTGCTGGCACGGTGTGAAGGCGTAGCAGTGATGTACAATGGTGCCACACTGCTGCTGACCATGACATTTCCCTGCTGTCACAGCAACAGTGGGCAGGGTGTGCTTCTTGCCCCACGTATCTGGCCATGGGGCCTGCAGACCAGCTGGAGAAGGACAGAAGTGTCCACGGGGCTGTGGTGATGGTGCGGGACACATCCTGGCATGGGACAGATCCTAGCAGGAACAGGATATGAACCTTTCAGTCTTCGGGACACGGTCACCAAGACAAGCGCTCCCACAGTAGCAGGTTGCAAGGACGAACCAGTCCCCCCATTGTCACCTCCACCCCTGTGGTGGCCATCCCCAACCAGATTCCCAAACCTGGGATGGGAAGAATGTCTTGGAGCTGGGAAGGGAGGGATTCGCAGTCCATCCTGCAACCCGTGGTGACAGTCCCACAGAAACCCCCTCACCGCTTCAGCCTCCATGCTGACCTCATGGAGATGGCTCAGGAGGCATCACACAGGCAATACTGTCCAGCACATGTGGCGCAAGCTGTCAATTCTGCCCTTGCCAGGCATTGCCAATTTTATCTGAGGGGTTTAAGACCTGCAGGGTAGAAAATTACAGCTACAAAGAGAATTTAAGGCTGGGTTGTGCTGCACTCTGCGTGCACATATTGGGAGGTAATTGGTCTGTAAAGATGTGTATTAATCCTAAGAATCTGCTTCAATCTGGTTATCTAGCCGAAAAGATTTGTTCCAAGCAGTTTTGAGTTTATTTTTATTTCCCTTCAGCCCATTGTGCAATGGGTGCCCTGGAATGGTAGCTGGTAGGAAAATGGAATTGCCGTTCCATGGGAAATCTCCGCGTTTCAACGTGGTATCCATTGCAAGATGCATTGAAAGCCAAAATTAAGATGTTTCCTAGAGGGGAAAAATCTGCAGGATATGAAATATTTTCATTTAAGGTACACTGAAAAATTTCCGTTTAAAATTGTTAAATTGTTTTGGAGCAGGGAGGTAAAAAAATTCTTCTCAATAATACGAAATACTGTGATAGGCAAAAATATTAACGCTATTGTGGCATAGATGGATATAGTCACATGAATATTTTATGTGATATCATGAAGTAAACTTAAATAATAACATTTGAAATATCTTTGGTGCTTGGAAACGAAATCAGAAGAGTAGAAATTGCCACGTTTTGGGGCTGGCGCTGACAAAATCGTTTTTTTCTTCTGGAAAAACAGCAATTTAAACCGCGCCGCTGGGCTGGGGTCTGCGTTCGGGTGATACCAGCAGCTCTGCTCTACTCTCCCTCTGTTAGGTGGGACACCTTCCTTCTCATCACAGCTTCTATAGATGGGGACTGATTTGTCACGGAGAGACATTGCTGGGAGCAGGAGGAGATAGATGTGCGCCGGGCTCGCCGTAACCCGTGCACGCTTCCCTTGGATGCCGTGGCCTGCTGCAAGGGTGGACGGGCCCGACTGTGGGAAATGGGTTGACCTTGTAAAAGAGAAGCTGGGGACATCCCCCGAAATATTCAGAGCACACAGGGAGGGCAAAGGCAGACAGTGGACGGAAAGGACGGGGAAGAATAAGGGCATTTGTCACATGTGGCAGGGGAAAGGAGAGGTGATGGAAACAGGGCAATTCTAGTGCCATCCATAAAGAAGGGAATGAAATAACAACAAACGGCTGAGGTACAGAATATGCTTCAATAGCCACCTTCAGGCAGGGGTGGGGGGAAAAAAGGACGATTAGCAAAGAAGGTGGGATTTGTGAAAATGCAGGGGAGAGTAAACGCGGGCCACAGTAGCCTGTCTGCTTTTAATCAGTGAGCCTTGCTGGTGGCAACGGCGCTTTCCGCTGCCAGCCGAGGAGAGAGGATGCTTCGTTATTGCAAGGTCCCGCGCAGGCGGTGGGGTGAGGCACGGGGACCATCCTGGGGAGCGCAGCAGAGCTGTCGTCCCTGTGGCTTCCTCTCCCAGGCCGCCTTTTCCCTGGGTCGCGGGGGCCGACGTTGAAGCAGTTTTGTTCCTCCCTACAATGGGAATCGGATGCGAAAGAGCACCGGGGGCTCCGGGTCCTCGGAAAAACCCAGCTGCTTGCTTTGCTGCCGAAATGGGGGCTTAGCGCGGACCGCAACCTAACATGGAGAGGGTTTTGTGGCCATCTCCCCTGCTAATCTTTCGATTGTAATCTCATTAATTGCCCCTGTGCTCAAACAGAAAAAAAAAAGAGGCAAAAACTCATCTGCGCGTTTATTCGATGTTACTTTGCTACCCCGTCTCCAGTAATGCTGAAGTTGGGGCTGCAGGCTTAGTAAAGCTCTGAAAGAGAGAGGAAATAGCTTTTTCAGTTGCAAAAAGGCTTTGAGGATGCCATATTCTCTAATAAGAAAAGGAAATTACGGGTTTTAGGCGTACAGACTTTTGGGGATGGGAGAATGGAGAAGTATTAGT